CTTTTACACCAAGACTTTGTTTCGAGCGGATCAAGAAGATTGACTTTATTCTCAGTGCATGTTAACTCTAGTGATGCGCATCACTCGTGCTTGAGGTTAAAATTTATTCCTCTGTCTGGTTGATAAAATTATTTATATTAATGCTTATTTCAATATCAAAGATGAAGAATAAAATATAATTGATTTGGTAACATACAGTTGTCATACTCTGGGGTAAGTACTTTATTTTGCTATCCTCTGTGGGTCACATATTTTATCCCTGTCATTCGGGTTATTGCGGAAACAACGTGATGTACTCTTAATCATTGTCATAATTTCATCGCTGATAATTACATAAGAAATTAAAATATATAAATATTTTGCACCACATATGGTGCCGTAATAAATATTTTTACTGCTACAAATATTTTCACTACATATAGCTTTTCTCAATTAATATTTTCACCACTTATGGTGCCATAATTATTTTGACTACATATACTACTAATATTTTCACTACAATATATACATAGAGAGAGAGATAGAGGAAGATGAAAATGCCACTATACTTTTAGAACGTTTACTTTTAATGAATTTGCAACGTAACACAATTAGCAAGGAACTGCATGGAACTAAGAAATTTCATTACATAAATATTTATAATTGCCATTATATCTACCAGAACCTAGACCATCAGTAGCAGCGTGGTAAAGTGGCTGAACGGGTAGTTTGATCTGGGTTCGATTCCTGGGAGACGGGCTAGCTGTATGGGTGTTTTCGTAGTTTTCCTCATCTGCAACGTGGATACAAGCCAGTTTCTGTTAAAAGGCCCTCCACGAAGGCATCCGTCTTCTTTGGCAGATAGACCTCACGTTCTTTGCTATAGGTGAATTCATCTGATCAACCTCTAGTACCTAATACTAACAACTTGAGAGGTGTTATAGACTAATACAAGCACATGCTATCAACTGATCTCGATACATTAGGCTGTGCTTTAGAATTATCATTGGCAAAAGTCAGAATTATACTGGCCTGTTACGAAATAGCATTATTTCTCACTGGAAGGGAAATCAAAATAGATTATTGTGTACCTCCATATCGCTTTTTTCTTCCTTAGAATAATATAGCAAAAATGGAATAATAAGAAAAATAATTTCAGTATAAATGGTCACTTAGACCATCAAACCTAATTCTTTCCCTTTTTATTGTTGTTATTATGGTTTTGCCTGAATTCATATGTGTACAAATAGAACGTCACTTGCAATATGACAATGAAAAGCTGTTTCTGCCGTCCAACATTTTCGATTTCTATCGCATATATAAGAACGGCCGTTTAGACCGACCAACCGGAATAGTGGTTAGCGGTGCTGAAGGTACCGAAGGTCCCGGGTTCGAATCCGTGGAAGGCAGGGATGTTTGTAAATGTATAGTGTCTCTGCGGCATGGGGACACTCTAAATATGAGCCCAAAGTCCTCTCGAGAGGTTTATGGTAGGTGAATAGCTGTAAGAGATCCTCGAACCCGTTTCGCTCGGATATTTTCCATCAAAATTGCGTGCGTAATTGAGCAAAGTCATACTGTCACTTGTATAGTGCTCAAGGCTCTTGCCAACGATAGACACAATCTTACATTCCTTGCCAGGATGGCTTTCGTTTGCTTGTTCTAATGTTACTGTCAGAGAAGTGACATAAGCTACAACAACAACAGGGTCGTTTAATTGAATATACGTTTAATTAAACAATTTGCATGATAAAAGTTATAAGTAAAACCCAGATAATGTTATGTATTTCCTCACTAATCGCGTTATTATGTAATAAAAATTCATTTAAATATACTTTTTTAAATTTATTGACTTTTGGCTCACGTTCTATGCACATTTATGCATCTGTGTATTACATGTTATACATATTTCTGTATTTATGTGATACAGTGTCTATGTATACATTTAAAACGTACTATATACAAATGTATTTGCATACATTTATAATGGATATCTCAAATGGATTTCGAAATATAACCAAAATTAGTACTCTTTTTTGATGTTCCTATACAAAAACTAAATAGAACAGAGATTAGAGATATCGAAATTTCTCGGTTAGTAGTTAGAGGCTCTCTTGATATTAATGTACAAAGGAATGTTTATTAAATAACAAAAGTTGATTTTAAGCAGTTATCTTGAACTTTATGTTTAAATATTTGATTGTCCTTTAAGACATTTACCATATAAGCCAATACAATTGTATCAACACTGTTTACACTACTGAAATATTTCTGGAAAGATTTTCTAGAACGCTGCCAAAAGTTCACGGAATAGTATTCAAGGCCATCAGTGCATTCTGTTACGTCTAATCTATCTTACTGAATCGCTTCCCGTTTGTACATAGTTTTCTTTTAAATAAAAGTATAAATAAAATAAAATAAAAAAATTCAGAATTAGATCTAGAGAGTGAGGTGGGTGACACACAAGTGGAATATTATGCTGTAGGACAAGAATTATCGTACAAGCTGAAAAATTATCATGATTATGAAACAAACATCTCCATAGTTATACCGCTTTATATGGGGATCTTTGTATGCTTTAAAGGCTTTTCAAAACTTAATAACGTTACCAGCTGAAATTTTACTAATAAAAAAATTCAAGGTACAAATTTAGTCCCTTGTGACCACCTGTCAATGAAGTCTCCGGATGTTATGTGTAGGAAAATTCACAAAGAACGTTACCACAGCGTTAGTAGGATTCCACTCGGCAAATTAAAGGGGACCTCCAAACTTACATCACCTGCCAGCACGATCCATAACTATTAAGCGCGCAAGAGTTTGTTTCGGTTTCGATTACTTTCGGATAAGCCTTCGTAAAAATTTTCCTATATTCTCATCTATTTCTGAGATTTAAATACTTCTTAAACGATATATCACGTTATGTAGCAAATATAAATATAAATAAAGTTTCAAAATAAACACTTTAAATTTATGTAAACGTCAGCACAGGTTTCAAATGATTAAAAGCGATCAAAATTTGTCTCAGTTTGCTATCAGACAGTATAGTACAAAATAGCAACTGTTTCTATTTACAGTAACAACTCACTATTCTAACTTAGTCATACATGGGCTCGAGTCCCGGCGAACGAGTCTGGCGGAATCCATAACAGAAATAAATTAAATTCTAGGCTTGTGGAGAAAATTCAGGAAATAATTCTCATGTAGGTTTACTATGTTTTCTGTATCTCTTCCCAATATCCAAGAACTTTCTTGCGATTTTATTTATTCCCCAACCCGTTTTTCGTTACCGCAACTGGCATTTTCTTTCCATGGATCTACCAATGAAATGGTAATCAAATGGACTTAGATGAAAAGTTTTGAACTCTCTATCAAAAATATTCTTATATGATTTCAAAAGTTGATGTGGCATTTTAGTATTTTTATTAACTGATCAACAGAACACATTTATGCTGTGTAAATGGAGTAATCACCAAAAAGGAAGGTGTTGCGCAGCGAAAGTGTAAATAGCATTCAATGTTGAAAAACTTATTTGTTAATTTATTCAAAGCATGCGACAATTAAAAATAACATATAGCAGGTAAAATACTTAATATATTATGAAAAAAAACGAAAATGTTCTATATCTATAATATATTTGTCTAAAAATGTACCAAATTAATGAAATTTTATTTTGCAGAACTTAATATTTATTTTTATTAACTTTATTTATTTTGCAGAAATAACCCCTATGATTAAAATAGCATACTTCATACTGCAAATATAATAACATTTTGTTTTTTTTTAATTATTACAGGTAAATCTATATAATGTCTTTATTTTTGTACCACATAACTCAAGTATTTCCTAGTTGCCATATATGACTTTTATCCTTGCGTAAAATAACAGAAAGAAATATTGCACTTAGTTTATGTGTCCTAAGCATTCTTTTAAATTTGATCTTTTAATCCAAATTTTTAACAAATCCATTCCTTATTCAGCACAAGCAACTGCATGGAGGTAAATGCTTTGTTTTTAATCAATGGGAGAAACAGCATGAATCTGAAACACTGTCTAAAGAATTATACCACTAGTAAAATAACTATTAAAGCAAAACATTTACAGAATTAGAATACATCTATCAAGTTCTTGAAATAGCATAAGACTATATTTCATGGATTTAAAATTTGAAATTAAATTGCAGTAGATTAAAAATACCTTAAGGCGCAGAAAAATAAACTTTATAGCTTTAGCAGCAAAACTAGCGCCCAAACAGGGAAGCCCACTAAAGTAAGAGCTTATGGATGGTTTTTCCTTCATAATTATAAAGCAAAGAAGAAAACTGTTTTACAGGCAAATTAGTTGAAGGACAAAGTAAACAATAAGTAGTGGAGTGTTTTTAAGTGTATTATTTAAATTTTACAGAGTGATTATTTTCTTGATCTACAAAAGTTTTTAATAGTTCCTGAGTATCACCGTCTACCAAGATAGCTAAAGATAACATAATACATAGATAAATTCGCATCCTTAAGAACGGAAAGAAATTAGTTGAAATAATCATCAAAAAGTTTTTTAAGAACTTCATAAATTTTTTCTGATTCTGTAAATGTTTCATTTTAATATTTTTTAAAAGTTAAATGTAATTCATGATAAATTTCACCTCTAATATTCATTTATTTATTTTTTCTTGAATAGTCATCAGTTAGCGATGAACTCCGTACAGTGCTAAAACTTAGTTCTGAAATTTAGGAAGCAAAGTTCCGCAACGGTATTTCGTATGTATCGAGGGACATATGTCAAAAATATTAATTACTCGAGCATTATTAAACCGGAACACAACTCGACATTTTAAGATAAACAGCTTCTCGAAAAAATTAAATTTTCACTCTCGGAGGTGAAGACTGCAATTATTTCAACGGAATGACAGTTTAAGTATTCTTAAGAGGAAAAACGTGGGAATCAATAAAGGCGCGCCTGCGCAAACTATTTGTCTCTACAACTGATTTCGAATTTCGCGGGCAGAGTCATTATGAATGAAGGGGCGTGGCTATGCGTTGTTCGGTAGCGATGGCAGCATGCAAAAGAGATCGCGAGTCTAAGAATAGGGGAGGGAGCAAACTGACAATTTCGTGAAGTGTCAGTTTAGTTAACAGACCTGCGCTGGACTTCTACACTTCAACTGAAGATGTCTCAGCTAGCAGTGCGGACTGCGGAAGACTGCGCCGTGGGCGTGCGCGCGGGCCGTTTGAAATCGATTGGATTCGCTGCTCGAAGTTGTTAGAGGAGGGGGCAAGTTAGGGGGCGCGCGTGTCGACCGCGAGCGGTCCGTTTAGGGATCGATCTAGTCTTACTCCTTTTCCCCCAGTTGCTTGCACAACCTTCATCGGAATCTGGACTGGGGTAGAGGGCTTTCGAATGGGTGTGCTGCGGCATTATCTGGTCTAAGCTGGGTGGAAGGAAAACTTCCCATCGCGCACGCTGGACCTCTAACTCTAACGGCACTTCGAGAGTATCTTGAGATCCGGTCTCGATCCATGGCGTAGCCAATATGAAAGAGGGGATGATTGCTTCGTTGATGCTTTGTGTTTTGCTTTTCTTGGCCCCAGCACTCAGAAATCAAGGAACTGTCGCCGCTTCTGGGTAAGGAGCTGATTTTTATCATTTAGTAAAGTTTCGTAACTTTTTAGAGCGCGTGACTTAAAAGTGACAAATGACACATATATAATGCAGCTTTAAAAACTTTGCGTTTTTTATTTCTTTTTTGCTGTTTGTTTTACTGCTAATGACAGGTGAATAATAATCATTTTTAATGAAAAAGGAATTCCTACGTATTTTGAATTTTCATTTATAGTTAAAAATTTGAACAATATATTTGATATTGACAAATGTGCGAAATTTATTTTATGTAAAAAGCATGTAAAAATATAAATCAAGAAATGTCTAAAAAATTTAGATCTTCTTTTGTTTGTATAAAAGAATGAAATATGAAGATGTTCCAGAATTTTCTTAAAATACTTTTATAGATAACTTGAATATTAATAATTTTTGCTTCATTTCATTTTTCAGTTATTCTAAACGAAAGTTCAAATAAAATTAGAACAGATGCGTAACTTTTCACTTAATGTTAAAGTAATGCATCCACGTGATACGTATATTCTCCATTAACACTTATTTTGAAATCATTATTATACTGTCATTAGTAGACATGTCAAAATTCGTTGCAAAGAAATAAGCACAAAACTTAAAATTTGAATTTCCATAGCGCAAATAACGTGAAATCTCCTATCATTGACAAATCTCAAAGTCCCTGAGAAATATCTGATATTGATAAAAACTGGGTTAAAGTAATATAAATAGTTTTCAACTAAAGAGATATATATCTGTGAAAAAATAAAGTATAAAAACTGTGATTTTAGATTTTTTTTTTTTTTTTTTTTTTTTGTGCGCTGCTGCAGACATTATCCTTTATTTGCAAATTTCAATTAAATTACAACACATGTTTATATACTGTAATCAATGACACCTCTTAAAAGAAATGAAAGGCACTATTACGTACTTTTCTAAGTGGCATACAAGTGCACACATTTATAAGTAAAACTTTTTTATAAATGTTTTTTTATACATTTCGTTATGCAAAATATCTAAGAAACGGTTTCAGGAGTTTATCTCTCAGTGTATACATTTCATTGGCTGCTTTTTCTCAAGCAAATTGTATTAACTATGCATTTTTCAATTCCATGTAACAAATATAATTTTTCTGCATTATTTAGCATTACTTAATATTTAATTAATTTTTTAGTTTGCGTCATACATTTTATGTCAGAACTAAAATAAATGCCATACTCGAATTATCCATTAAGTAAAATTACAAACTTATTAAAGGGGAAAGATGGGAAACTGATAACAACAAACTTTCCAGCAACATCTGAATGTTCGTTATTAATCTGTCTCTGTTTTACATCCAGTTAAAGATGAACACGCTCTGCTCTAATTTCAGCTTTTCTTAATTTCATCAGGGTAAAACAAGTCTGATTTTAACGGAAATGTTTTAAAACTCTGTGGGCACTTCAAAACATTCCCTGCGTTTTCTTTTAACCTTACTAATGTGCAGTTTCTATGTCCTCTTACCTTCCTTAGATCGATTATAGGGATAGAAAAATATTCTCAAGGAGTTTTGGAGCATATGTCAGAAATCCTTTTCATTTTCTAAAGACTTTTATGTAGCAATGAACTTTCCGAAGTAAGATGAAAGTTTTTTAGTGAGCGCAAAAGTATCTAATGTGTTTTACTGCTGTAACAGTAAAACCTCTCCATAATTTTAATTATAGGATAATGAAAGGAAACACTCTTAAGACTTCAATAATATAAAGTTAATTTTTTCGTGTTTTAAATAAATACTGTTAATACCTTGTAACATATACCTATAATGTTTCGCAAAGCAAACAGCTATGACTTAATTACCTTAACTATAAATTCATTCATATTTGATTTGTAAATTTAAAAGTATTTTGCAATTAAAAATTTAATTTTCGAAACTTATGATTCCAGTTTTTAAGCTACACTTCGATTTGTATTTTAAAAACGACTTGGGATCAGGTGTTGAAATAATACATATATAGACATATGCAGAAGTCACCAAAGTTCTGACAATTTCAAAATTTCAGTTCATATTTCGATTAGAAAATTTCTTGGTTCTGCAATCGATTTCTGTGTCATAGAACTTCGAATATTTATCCAAAAAAGTGTTCAAAATGTGTTTATCCAAAAAAAAGTAAAGTAGTTTAATGAGAATCTGAAAGGAAATGAGCTGTCTAAAGAGGAAAAATTAACATACTAATTTGTGAGTACTATGCTTGAAGAATTCTGAGAGATCTTGACTTCACTAAAAGTAAGTTTAGACTTTTAATATAGTATGATCCAGCTTGCTGTATCTATCCTAACTGATATTCCTCTGGCTTTCCTCCTAATTAGGAATTTCCTAACAATACAAACGATTAAAGTTTTTAATGATTAAAGTTTCTTCTCATGAAATTAAGCATATATACCATAATAAAGCTTGTAAAAACTGTAAAATTTAGTTTCATCTCATATTCAATTTTTGGCGCAGTATAACCTTTTGACTCAGTAATTTTAATTGCTTTAAATAGTTCTTAAGCAATTTATTAAAATAAAATTACTCCCTAGTCAATGGCATGACTAATCTTAAATATCTCCTTCAAATATGAGTAAACTTTTAATTCTTAGAGAAATCTAACAATTAAAATCTAACAGTCTACTAAGAAATCTAACAATTGCACTATATTTATAACGAAAGGAAAAATTTTTAAAGACAAAGAGGATTGGAGAGTCTATCTAATATCATATAAAACTCTACAAATTGCTTACAAAATGCTTACTGAGTTTCATAATTTAAGGATTAAAACTAAGTGTTAAATTGTTACGTTGATTTCGAAAAATATGTTTCGAATTTTATTTTTAATCCTGCATTTTAAAATGCTAGTGCGTTTAGTGGAATTTTATTTATTTCGGAAACAATGTTTAAATGTTTATATCAAACCGCCTAGAATTTACTCAGTATAAAAGTTCAAAGTTGTTTTCTAAATCAGAATTCAAAATTTCAACATAAAAGGTATTCGAATCCATCAAATAATATCAAAATATGATATAACCTCTAAATCATTAAACAGAACATTCCTTTCATGCACTATATACAATTTTAATACCATCTTTACAACTTAGAATTGCTTCTCACAAGATAACTAGTTGAATATTTTGACCCAAATTTTTACTTTCTTTTTATTTCATTCTACACGAAGTATTGCTAAGTTTTTTACTTGCTATAATATCACGATTCTAAATTTTAATTTAAGTTTTATCGTTCCACTTAACTGTGAGGCTTGATAATGAATTGCTACTGCGAAAACATTGGTTTATCTAAATTACAAATACCTTCAGTAGTTACAATGGCTTTTTTTCATAAATACTTAGCGTAAAAATAAATCCTTCCGATACAATGTAATTTGCATAAAGATTAATATTGTTAAATTAAGTTCCCCCATAACATGATTAAAACTTCACTGAAAATGTAACTTGTTTAATTTCGTATTTAAAATAATAAAGTTTAACTAGAGTACTTAGTGTAATTAATATACGAGTATTTCTCAGAGTAGCAAATAAATATAACAAAATAAAGTATAAAGCACTTGATATAAACTAATAGCTAATTTTAAGTATATCAATAAGGATTTAATCTTTGAAAAGCTTTAAAGTGAAAAATCTGTAATAGATAAAGAAAGTTTTCTAATGAGATTGCTGTAATGAGATTTATTTCATCAAATTAATTATTAAAAAGTTTAATACCCGACAGCTTGGCCGTGCAATGTTTGTTAAATTAAAATATAAGATTTTCATTTATGTATACTTATAAGAAATGTTAGTATAGGCTTAGAAGAAATGTTAGTATACATTTATGTTCCGAAGCGCATGATGCAGAATTGCTTAGTTTATTTCAGTATACGATTGGAAGCGTAACGTTGAAAAATAATGTTTAATATATAGTGAATTTATAATTGTAGAGAAATTCATCTATGTTATATGATTTAAAATTAAAAGTTTTAAAACATATTGGACATTAATTTTAATTTCAGTTAAAATATTACCAAGCGCAGACAATTACTTGAATTCATAGCCTTAGCACAATTAATATTTCCATTATACATAAAAAATTAGTAAGCTTATTTGTTTCCTTCTGCATTATATTAGATATGAATTTTAGAATCCTTAAAAGTTCACACTGAAGCTTATAAGGTATCTCGAAGGTCATGCTTTTAAATTTGTGTAATTGGAATATTATTATTAAGTATGATATTACAACTTGAAATTTAGTCTTTCGCATTCTCAGCAAAACCTTCCAGAAAACAAATTTGATTTAATCAAGTTAGTTAGACCTGAAGCCTTATATCACAGGTAAAAACAGCTGATTTTGATTACTTACAAATGCATTTAGAAGCAATGAAATAACTTACTTCTTGCTATGCATATAAGTAAAAGAAATAATAGTGATATGCATAATAGTATTTGAATATTGATATTAATTGAGAAACTATAACAAATACGGACGATATACAAATAAAATCACGGAGAGTGCAATTTATGCGACATATGTTTTGAGAAATAAATCGCAAAATGTAGTGATAAATTGAATTAAATTAAAGTAAAACAAAATCATTCGTACTATGTTATTCCTGCAGCATTTGCAGTAATTCATAACAGATTTCACCGTAAGAATATTAAACTCCCAATTGCTAAAACAAAAGACTTCAGACATTATATTTAATTAATGCCGGAAGCATTCGGCAGTAAATCCAAAGCATCTTTCGGACTGACTATATAAAATTATAATGTTCGCATTCTAAAAAATAGTAAATAATCCTGGATATTTAAGTAAGGAGAAACCAATTAAAATGGGACCTTATTTTGACTGTAAGTAGCAATAATCATTTAATTCCTTATCTTGCAATAATTATGAATTTATCCTCATAAAAAGGATTTTTAATTAAAATTATTCCAGTTAAAACTCATATTATATATTTCAATCCTTTCCTAGTTTATTTGTAAAAAAATGCAATACATTCTATGGG